GGGTGCAGAAAAGCTTCTTTCGATATGGTACCGCTTGAAATAAATCATCATCGAAATAATCTTTTAAATAGGAACAATCTTCTAGATCGACAATCTTCTAGATATTGAGATGAATGGGTTTGATAATGAAGACAAGCTCATGTGCATGAAAACTTATCAGTCTAACAAACGTCAAAATCTTCGCAACATAGTGAAAGGAGGCAGGCAAATTCAATGGAAAAGAGTCTCATATGTAAAGAATTCAAACAATGTACAGATGTTCATAAACCCTATCAAAGAGACGAATTTGGAGTAGTTCTGTCTTGGTAAGACTCAAGGGAGAACACTCTCTCCCACTCCAGTCTTCACCCCCAAATTATGCCCGAATGCTCGTGGGTGCTGCCCAATTTTCGTCGCCCCTCCTCCGCAGCCTTTCCTCTTTTTCCTTTCGGATCTCACACATCGCCTATTTCTTATTCCTTGAGTTTTCCACAGTTTCCAGGCAAACACTTTGATCTTTTTCATTTTCAGCGCAGAATATAATCTTACTTTGAAAGCGGACTTTTGTTCGACGATTTAAGTGATTTCCGGTAATCAGATAGAGGTTTTAGACTTTCTTTTAAAGATTTGTACTAAAAAATTGGTCATTTAGACTTTGATTTTATCATTTTTCCTCCGCAAGATTTAAATTTACCTTTTGAATAACTTTTGAATAACAGTTTAACTCATTTTTAACAGTTTTAAAGTTTTTGAAAGACTAGATTAATGTAATTATCATATTTTCTGATTTCAAATCTATTTAATATATTGTCCTTTAAATCCCTGAATCTTAATTTGATATTTCAATACATATTTCTTTCATTCTTGCTCATTGTTGAACCAATTTTCCACCAAAATCACTCAACCAAACCACAAAACATCAACAAGCGCCAAAGACCCAAATTCTGGACTTTATTTCATTGATTTCTGACAAAAAATTATAGAACTTTAGTTTTATATCATCAACAAAGTGGTTTTTTCAAGTTTTTAAAATATTCGCGTAAATTTACGAGCCTCGAAAATGCGCATTTCATAGTGAGAATCGAGAGAAATGGAGAAAAACGAAAGGTTTTTGAATGGAACTCTTTTCTTTTCTCTTTTCTTTCTCAACCACATCTTTGTCCGCAAAATCTGCATCTACATCTCTTTCCCATCTTTTTCTTCTTCTTTAGCTGGGTTTTTGGCTTTCTTTCCAAAGATAGCAAGAGTGAGAAAGCTCTCCTTCCCGCACCACGCATTTCTCTCTTCAGGCTATCCCCAGTCTTTCCCACTCACCAAACAATTGATTCTTGCTTTCTTGATAACTTTATCCGATGATATAAAGCTTTTAAAAATAGATTACGGCACTAAATTTTAGCCACTTGTAAACTTTAACAGTACCTGCACCGGCACTTGTATTACAGAGTGGCTGAAAAGTTCTGTCCACATCTTTCAAGCAAGTTTCTTAGTTTATGTGACTAATTTCATCAAAAACCTTTGGTAAATCTAGAAACTACATTCAATTTAGCAGTTAATGTCTTTTACATGAACTAAATTGGTTTAGCCATTCCTGATTGTTCAATGTCGGGCTCATTTTGACCATTTAGTCCTAGGCATCTTTAACTTTGTCAAGTAAAGATCTCACAGTTTTTCAAATTTAGTTTTATCATGAAAAAGCAGTTTCACCTTTTTTTTAGATTTTTTTGAAAAAAAACGTATTTTCACGGTTTTATATAAAGTTTACGTGGCTAAACAAGAGCAATTATGAATTTTTTCACTATGGATTTAGCTGGAGCGATGGTCAAAATGAGCGCGACATTGAACAATCTCGCTGCAACGAATGGCTAAGCCAATTTGGTTTCTATAAAAGACATTAACTGCTAAATTAAATGTAGTTTCTAGATTTACCAAAGGTTTTTGATGACATGAGTGACATAAGCTCAGAAACTTGCTTGAAAGATGCTTGAAAGATGAAAGATGAAAATGATTGCTTGAAAGGACAGGGCTTTTCAGCCATCCCGTACAATTCTACTGCAATAGTGCCGTTGAGCTAAGTCTTATAAAAGCAGTTTCCATATCATTAGACTCTTTAGGAGCTCTTCCGCCTTTCCTGCTTCCCCATTTTTCCTTTTTCTTCTACTCTTCACTCACTTCCAATCCAACCAATGATTTTTACAACCCTTAACTTCTACATCGTGTCAATTTTTGCCCTTTACCTATAATTTGTTAATTAAATCTTAATGTTAATGTTAATGTTAATTTATTAATTGTTAATAATTGTATCACAGACTCAAATAATGCAAAAGTACAAAAGTGGAGTGGGAATTTTTTACTTTTTAAGTAGCCTCATCAATGCCAGACAACTAAACAATTATTGACTCATAGCGCACTTCTGTCCCACTCCACTTTTGTACTTGAGCACTATTGAAGTCGGTGATTAGGTCTAGGAACGCTCACAGACCTGTAAGCCAGGCCAGGCCAAAAGTTGGGCCAGAAATTTGATTCTGACTTGTTCTAGTCTTGAGAAATCTATGCTTGACCAATGAAAAGTCTATCCTTGACCTTATTCCACTCAATGTCAAACAACTAAACAATTATTGGCTCATGGCGCACTTCTGTCTCATACCACTTTTGCACTTGAGCACTATTTCGATAGGTCGATTCTTTTCTATCCATTGAATACTTTTTGATAGAGCTAAACTCTAAAGAACTTTATCCAAGTTCTAAAGATTATAGCCGATATTCTTTTACCCGAAAGTAGACTTTTTGAAATCGGCTGGTGCTCTCATCTGTTTTTTTTTGTTATATTTTGTTTTTTCTCTGTTTAAAGTGAAGTTTTGTAGCTGTACCTTCTCTTTCTGAATCAATCTACCAGTTTTTCTATTCTTCCTGTTCTCCACCACAAATTCGAGATTAAATCAAAACAAAACCTGAAAATTTCTTAAATCTTTTGATTATTTTCTTATAGATATACTAAAAAAAGAACTTTATAACAAAGTCGAAGCAAAATCTCTTCTGAAAGCAGTTTGAATTTTTTATAGATCTGATTTCTTGAGTAAATAGACCTTTTTCTCTGCGTTAACGACTAGAAATCATAAGTCAGAATGAGATTTTTCTTTTAGATAAGCAAACCCATGATTTGAACACTGACAGGTGCCTTTTCTTCAAAAGGAATTCAAAAAAGGAAATCTTCGAAAGGAGATTTCATAACGAAATCCTCTCCCGGTTTAACTTTTCTTACCGCATTTCACAAGAATCTTGGTTGTTCTTTGAAATAAAACTTTTGCATGTCTTGCCAGCACTCTCTTGTTGTACCCGTAAAATTTATCCGTTTAAAAGCTTCACAACAACGAATTCCTTTTGCGATTTTATAACAGAATTGCACCTCTTTTGACTAATCCCTTTTTTAGACCAATTTTCTCGCACTTTCCTTAAGTGAACTGTCGACATCTAGACTCGAAATTCCAAAATAAACAAGAAATGTGGGGAAAGCCATAGTTTAAGTTTAGTTTAAGTTTAAGTTTAAGCCATAAAATCTTGAGCTGAATCTAGATTTCAAATGCTTTTTCTGAAAAATACTCTTACTATCTAATTTTATCTCGAAGCCTGAAATTTCCTAAACATTTTCACGAATTCTCGACCCTTTTGCCCATTAAATACTCTTGTGAAACTAAAAAAAAATCAATTTTTATACCCAAATTGAAATTGAAATCATAAAACATCATTTTTGCCCAATTTTATACGTGCATTCGTTGACAAGCTGAGAAATGAAAAGAAATTTTTGATTCGCGAGAAGGGGTCGAGCAGCGAAACACCGAAAAAAAGGGAAAGAAGACTAATTACTTGCTATCTGGGACATTTTTCTTTTGCTTTTTGCCTTCTAAATGAATTTCATTTTTATTTCGATCTTTTTGCGTTGGTTTTGTTAATTTTTGGTGCAACCAAAATGCCGAATTTTTGTTTGGCCGAAAATCTGAAACCGAAATGAACTGAAGCAAAACTTTATTGAACTCTAAAAGTCCTTAATTGTGTCAATTATTTTTCTTTTATAATCAGGGTCAATGAACCGAATACGAGAATTAGGCCCAGGAATTTTGAGCAGAGTTAGAAGTCTCGACAAGTAACAGGCTAATATTAAAATATTAGCTAATATTAGTCCGACGGGGCGCTTCTTTTTGTTTCTATTATGTTTCTAAAAAGTTATTTCTATTATATTTGAGCTTTTGGTAAAAAAAAAGGAAAAAGTTTGGTTAGAGGCGGATTCGAACCTTTGACCTGTAGCACTCAGTGCGAGCACGCTAGCCACTTGGCCATTGAGCGAAACGTCGGGCCCGTGGATGTCCCTATTTTGAGGTGGGCGACCTCGACAACCCCGAAAAACCACCAAAAATCGAACATAATTTTTTTCTATTGGGTATTTTTTGAAACGGTTTACAAAAGGCACAACTACATCAGGGGTGGGTATTTCGGCTGTTTCCCGAGAAACTCACTCTTGCGCTCGCTAGAGCTCCGACAGACGGACTGACACTTCGCAATTATATTTAGGTTAGATTATCATGTTAGCCGATTGCTGAAACTAGTCAAACTTTAAATTTGATTTGATAATTGATCCAGCTTCGTCTATATATTAGTGAACATCAATTTTTCACCCCAAACGTCTGACAACATCAAATTCTCTGCTCGTAGTTCTCTAAACTTGCTTTTTCATTTTTTTCTGAGTTGCTTGGGAACCGAAAAAGTTTCCGGTTCTTTTCCGATCATAAATTTCAATTTATACAAAACTCCAGCCTGTTTTCATTTCCGGAAAATGTAGATTTAACAATAGTTTCGATAACTTTAAGCTAGTGTTGAGGTATCCTTGGAATTCGGTGTTATGCCTCATTTTTTCTCCTTAAACTCTCTTTATTTCTGATGGTATGCTTAATTTCTAATCATCATTTTAACTTTTAGATAACGATAAGAATTGTGATCAAGGTGTCTCTTTTCTTCTTCCATTTCATTGGATGGGAAGAGCTTCCCTTGAGCTGCCCCTCAATAGGGATGGATCGATCAGATCCGGCAATTTTCGTGCCCCATCTCCATCACCTTTTGATAAAATGAGGTGAGTGTTTTGGTTTGATTAAAATTGTCTTTTATTAGTTATAAAACTTGCTAAAGCTTATCGTTAGAACCTCTTTCGTTCAATCTTTCATCATAAAAGTTCAAGAAAACAAAATTCTAGTTAACTTGATTAAGATTACAATCTACCGAAGCTTATCTTAAGATCCACAGTCTATTAACTATGTTCAGATTACTGTATTGGGCAAAAATAGTGTAGAAATTAGAACAAATAACGGCAATAGATCTATTCTATAAGATAGATCCGATTCCGCTTTTTAGCTTGCAATCATTCCTTGTTAGTTTTCAAAAGAAAGAACTGTCAATCGTGTTTTCGAAATGAAACAAACCCTTGAAAATATATTTGAAGAGTGTTTTGAATTATATGCAGAAGTGGAAGGGGAAAAAGAAATGAGGGAGGGAAAAGAAAGAGAGGGTGGACGATCGATTCCCGCACCTCTCCCCTGTCCACCCTCCGTCCCTTTCCCCTTTTCCCCATTCTTCCATCTGGTTCATTTCTTTACAAATATCAATGACTAACCACTTTTCTTCCTTTTTCTCTTTTCCTTTTTTTCCAAACATAACACATTTTCCTCCAAACACAGTCAATATCGAATCTATTCAAAATTTTCTATCGATATGACTTTTATTGAAATCTTTTCTCGATTTTTTCTTTTCAAGCATGAAGATAAAGTGTAAGTAGTTTCTAAGCACCTTTTTTAGATTTTAAATAATCATTTGGCTTTAGAATGCAACTGAACTATTTGAAAAGTCGGAGGATAACGGAGGGAGCGACGTTGAGGTTGCTGTCGATACTCAAGGTGGGCTTTATGATCAGAATCTGGTAATCTTGTGATTTTTTTTCGAAATTGCAGTAAATTTGCAATTAAAATTATAAAGTGTAGAAGAAAAGCATAAGGACGTTACAGCCATAAGTACAGTTACTTGGGATTTCTTTCACTGGTAATGCAATTCACTGACAGTACCGGAAATAGGCACAAGTACCGGTTTGACAAGCAATTCAACTAGTTTTACAAATAGCCAATTTGTTTTTTTTTGAATATCAAGACGTAACTGACAATGAGCTCTTAATAATCAAGTCAACTGACACCTAGAAAAGTCTTTTTAGTATGTTAAACTTCCGAATAAAGTCTATTCCTTACGGGCAATACGTTTTCTAAAAGATAGATGACTTGGAAAACCACCGTAATTGTTTAGTTGTCTATCTTTAACTGTATCTTTGTCTACCGTAACTTTCTTTCAAGTTTTTCCCGATTTCAATTACCGTATTTTCATTACTAACATTATTAACACATTCACGACAATCCGGCTCATCGGTTGGCCGTACAGATTTTTGAGAATTTTGTTTTTCTCGCAGAAAGTTCTCAGTAACTTTGTGCTAGTTTTCAAGAGGAGATTCAGGGCTATCAAATGGCTGTAATAGTTTAATTTATCTTTGAATTATCAGCAAAACAGTTAATGACTATGTAACCCCAAAATGTCATCGTTGCGAATGTGTTAAAGACTCCATCACCATTAGATCATTTTCAGATGTTGGCCCAAATCCATGTTTTTCTCGGGATTCTTATGTTAATATTGTCGGCTCTAGCGGATTATGTTTCATCGAGGAAAAACACAATTCGACTAAACGGCCTACTTGAATGCTGTTCTTTCTACTTTGTCGTCATGGGGTAAGCCAGTATTTTTATTGCCACTTTTTCCCATTTCTGGGTTCTACCACACAGCATGGGCAAAACCAATCACCGAATTGAAAAATCCCAGATCAAATTCGGATAATTCGGATAGAATAAAAAAGCCGAATCCCGAATTTAAATGTAAATTCAATAAAATGCAGGGTTTTTCGGTTGGTTTATGGTAAAATCCTCGCGGATCATTTTCTCCTTTGCCTCTATTAACACCACTTTCCATTCCTTAATTGGCGATGGTGCCAAGTAAAAGGGGTAGAGGCGGATCCGTCCGATCTACCAAGTTAAGCGACGTTGGGCTCGGCTAGCCACGAGCTCGATCCGGCCCTTTGACATCAATCAATCCCCACATTTGTGCAATTAAACATTTTACATTTAGATATTAATAAAAACGAATAGCTGAACTTTTTCGTTTTAGATCAGTGGGTCTTTGCGGGGCAGCTTCGTACAGAAGAGGGCTCGTCATCGCGATTCTTGTGATGAGTGTGCATGCGATTCTTATCTTTGTCCCCGGAATTGTCATCGTTTCCAGCTTCGATATTCATTTTCATAAGGTAATCAAAAAACGAGTTCTATATAGGAATCAAGATCTAGTAAAGACTTTAGCCTAATATATTTCAGCACGAGTGTTGGGGTTCTTGTGATTGGCACCTCTTGGCTACATCTCTTCCGCAAAACAGTCAGTGTCAGATTTTGTGCGGTACAAATGTTGATGAGCATAAAAGAAGGTTAGATTTCTGAGAACTTATTAAGAACTTGTTGTATTTCTGGGTTAGATAAACTATAAACCCGAATTTCTTTAGTGTAATGACCAGGCTGGGGACCGATTACCGACTAGATGCAGGATTGATAGCGTTGGCCGGCCTGGAGCTCCTATTCGCCATCGCCACTTTTCTCATCTCGTTGAAGATCATCTGTAGCAAGATTACGGTAAGTGAAAGAAGTACACGATAAACAACAAGTTCACACACTTTACAAAAAAAGCTCCATTTTTCAGCTAAAACCCCGATTGAAATTGGGCTTACAACATAAAAAAGCAGTTTATATAGTAAATGTACAGTAAACAGCGATGTACAGTAAATAGCGATGTACAGTAAACAACGATGTACAGTAAACAACGATGTACAGTAAATCCGTTAACTGACTGTTAGACTGAAGCCGCTTTATATAGCTTAGTATCGACCGAGACCAAAATTTCATTCTGTTATCTTGAGTTTTTCGTTATATAGAGTTCCGTTATGGAGAGAGTCGACTGTAGATAAAGATTAGATAAAGATAAAGATAAAGGTTAGATAAATCAGCTTTTCTAGGCTAGCTGAAGTCTAATTACTTTGAATTCATCTCTCAGAAAATATTGTTTTGTTTTAGTTTGATGCTCTTGATCTGGTAAAGATCCAAACCAACTTTTCAAAAGTTTCCATAAGTAGATTGCATTGCTCTTAGTCAATGAGTTTTCGAAAAACCACCTATAAGCACCGTAATGAAACTGTAGTTTTCTAAAATAGATGCTTTTTTACATATTGGACAAGAGGAATAAACGCTAGCTTGACTTGATAAATCTCAGCAATTTCCAGCAACAACCGATCGTCGAAATGATGCCGCTGACCGCCCCTCAAGTCCAACAGGCCGATCAATCCAACAAACAAGAGCCCTAGTTTCTAAACATTTTCTTTGTAAACTAGAATTAGCTACCTCAATTTTAGTAAACAAATCAAAATTTACAATTTAGCATTGAAAAATAGAGCTTTTCTCTGTAAAAGCTCAAAATTTGCATAATACTTCCGCCTATTTTCGAAAATATTTCTGAAAATCGGTATCCGATTCGGTCTCATTCTTGCCCAATCTGTAAAATTCTCAAAATTCTTTTAATTTTTCAAAGAACTCTCTTATTTTCCTATTCTTCGCATAAAAAAAATCTGTGGTGTCGAGCAAATACTGGTGCATTTTTTTGATTGATTTTCTTTTGGTTGTGAATTTTTATGCTTTTACTTTTTTTTGCTAGACTTGTTGAACAAGAAAACAACGAAAATAAACAAATCACTAGCGCTTTCTATTTTCTGGCAAAAAGTACAATAATCAAAGAAGAAAAAGAAGAAATAAAAGATTTGAGACCCATGTCAATACTCACCGAGAACGAAAGAGTTACACCGAAGAAAGGTTTTCATTTTGAAAGAGATTAGAGATTTGAGTTTTGTCTGCAATAAAGCAAAAACAACGAATAAATGGTTAGAAATTTTCAAATTTCACTCAAAAATTCGTGTATTTTGCGCTCAAATCTGGAAACACATTTTTCTGAAGCACGAACTCTTGGACTTGGATGAAATAGAATTTTATTGGGGTCATAAAATAGGGAACACAAAAAGGATCATAAAAAAGTTATAGGGGCATAAAATCCCCCAGCAAAACCTTTACATTTAATAGTCAAATTAAATTTGCATCTAAAAATCTTTTCAGATCTTTAAAATGATCTTAGGCTTAGGCTTTAAAGCCTTATTCAGCTTTAAAATGATTTACATTACGTTTAATGTAAATCATTTTAAATCATTCTTTAGGCATTTATGTAATTGTGTTGACTTCTATTGTTATTCAAATTCAAATTCAAAAGGAATCTTGGAACCAGATGGAGGTCAATTTGGCTCATGGACGTAGCCAGGATTTCGCGACTTTCAGTCTGACGGTCCAAGCTCCTCGACGGTACACCGAATCGTTACCTCGTTGAAGCTTCGTTAGTCAATGCAATTGCTAATGAAATGCATGAAGGACACCTATTAACTGAATAAATGAATTGAGAGGGGTTGAGAAGGGCTTCTCAGACGTTACATTTGGGGAAAACCACCAGACACCAGCAATCCTCGTTCAAAAAAACACAGAGAAGTGCACGGTCATTGTACACTCTGAATTCGGCTTTTGCATTGATTTCTCGTATTTTCAAGCCTATTTCTCGGAGTTCTGTGACTCGATTGTCAAACACGTAAATGAAAGTTGTTGATCAAGCAGTTGATTCATTTCTTTTTGTCATAAACACTTGGTATTTCCTTTACTGAAATTTAGCAAAAGGTTTATAAGACAAAAAACCGAAAATCGACACGTGTATGAATTTCCCGTATAATTTTAATAAAAATGAGTAAAAACAGCGAGATCAACAGTCGGTGGCATCGAGCGACGACCAGACGTAGCATAGAATTCCTTCATCGGTATATCCCGCCTGCATCTCTCTGTCCTTCTCCGCGTCATCAATCGTGTACAAATGGTCTGAAAACAATACAAATTCCGAAGTCCTTGTGCTTATTATACTAATTTCCTCGACTATTGAATTAGAAGGTGTGAGATTTTTCAAATCTGTATATACTTTTGCATAATGCATTATTATAGAGGTTTTTTCGTTTTCTTTTCAATTATTGTAGAGCTTTCTCAGCTTTACAAAATTATTATTGAAAACATTCTATGAAGCTTTCCTTCTCTCAGAAAAACGCTGAACAACAAAATCCGACCTTCATTTCTTTAAATGAATTAGATCAAAATTTCTCCTCCCCACAAAGTGTTCCTACCTGAGGTTCCCGCGTTCCACAGTCGATGCAGTGGGATCAAACCGCACCCTGGTCCAGGCATACAATAACCGATTGCCACTGATTGAAGGGAGTACCGCCTGAGGCTGTTCAGCATCTCAACATAGCTTCTCGTGTAGAAGTGATCATCTGAATAAAAATTTTTAAAAGATTCAATATTTACTTATAATATGTACTTGTTTCCGGGTTGAACATTCGATAAATTGCCCCTATCCCGGTGCAGTCACTCGGTGTTGCCAAAGCGATGAATCCCATGTCGGCTAAATAGATAAAGTTTGGCATTTCTGCTGGACTAACTAGGTCTTTAAGAATTAAAAATATGTCCATAATAAATATTAATAATAATATGTTTGACCACCAGGACCAGGATTTCAATCCAGAGGGGTCTAATTCTGGAAACTGCCACTTCAAAACTTTTTTCTGTTTTACGCATCCAAGTTTGTTGACGGTTGCTGTATAACAAGACTATTGCGCATAAAAAAAATTCCGAAGCGCTAATTTTTGGTAGATCGCCTGAATTGGTGGATCGCCGCAAACCAACCCTCCACTTTGTATCCGAGTCCCACATAATTCAGCTGCTCATTGCGACTTCCTGTGTAGAAGTGGTCCTTGAGGTCTCCATTCCACGAACGGCGTAGTGGCGTCAGAGCGGCTGAATGGATGAACAAATAACTTAAGCCAGGACACAAAAAGTTACCGCCACTTTTACAGCTGCAGGATCTCACCGAATCGCGTTGACAGTCTGAAACTCATATTTATCCTCGTTTTCTAATTAAGGGCTTTATCAACTACCCTTTTTACAGTCGAAACTAGAAAAAAAGCAATGGATTTTTAACTAGGCAATCATTCAGGCATGCTCTCATGAGTCAATCCTTTTTTAAGTGAGACCCATTTCGAAAATAAAACTTTTTCGTAGCTTAGGAAGCACAGCTCAGCTCTCACCTATACAAAAAGAAAGGATGGCCTCCCTCACTCTTTCTCTCCTAAATCTAGAAGTTTAACTATACTCTATCTTTAGTTATATATATTGATGATTCGGGTTTGAGTAAAAGTCTTTATCTTTACTAACATTCTACTATAATCTATTTGCAATAAATAGTGTCTGTGAACTGTAGGTGAGCTTACTATCATACCAATCATATTCAACACACACACAGTTAGATTATACTACCAAGTGATCACCATTGGCGTAAGGCCATTGGTTCAACATCTTTGCTTTGTCTTTGCTACTAAATACGAGATGTAAGATCTTCTATCGATTAAGGTTCCTTAGATCCAATACAAACACACTAACCAATTTGCTCGACCGGTCCCGTCTGTGGAGCTGTACGGGCTATCTTTAGTACTCTATCTTTAGTTATATGTATTGCTGATCCGAGTTTGCGCAAAAGTTTGAGTTTTAGTTTGAGGAAAAGAAGAAGGAGAGTCGAAATCATTTTGGTGATAGCTCTTGATTCTGGCAAAATTTAAACTAGAATGCTCTTTATATAGTCATAAAAGGTCAAAAAATTAGTCGCCAACGCCAAAAAAAAGTCATCAATGTCCTAGAAGCTGTACAGCTTCTTTTTCGGGCTGACCCATCAAACATATTCGCTCTTATCACCAAAAGTTGTCTATCTCTAGAAGATTCCATTTTTCAGTTTAAAGGGTGATCTGCTGACTCGTGAGCAGATTGCCGCTTCTCTGGAGATACTGAACTATACAACTTCTTTGACCTGACCCCTCAAAAATTTTCCATCTTATCACCAAATTTTTGTCTCGTTTTTGGCTCTGGAAGTTTTCAACTGATTCATGTGGACAAATAAATCGTTTTTCTGGAGACATTTTTCCAATTGTGCGATTTGTGCAATGAAATGGTAGCTTGGAGCTGATAAATGGAGAGAAAACTAAGGTGCAATTTTCCTACTTTGAGCATCTCGGAAACCTATTTTTTCCGGGCCTCATGTGGATTTAGGAAATCAGAATTCTAAAAAGATAGCTTCAGAAGGTTTGTCTCATAGCATCACCGGCTCATAACAGCAATCCCTTAACAAGCTGGGCTGTTATTGGCATTGGCATTCTTGGTAAAGGCCATTTCTGAAACTTTCCGGATCGAATCGGAAAGAGCCCTCTTTCGGGTCATTTCTCAACCATTTCTCAACAAAATTCAAAAACGAACTTATTCAACAGAGAATTCTAAAAAGAGCCGAACGGGAACACAACGATTCAATAGTAAAATCAAGTCAAGCACAAGATTCAGAATTTGACTTCTATCAGATTGAAACTCAGAATTTACATGGGGTACTAGAGAACCGTTTTAAAAACGTTTTAGAATCTGACAAGGTAAGTAAAATTTTGCATGCCTTTAATAGACCCTCCCTAAAAATTTTCCCAGAAACTGACCCTTCACTAGTATTTGTCTCTTATCACTAAGAAGTGTCTGTTTTTGAGGAAACTTTCTCTGAGATAAGACCCCATTGAGCCAACAAATCGCTTTTCTAAAATTATATTTTTCGTTTTTTACGATTTGTGAATAAGAAGTGACTTTAGTACACTTTTGATTTGACCATAGGATGAGTAAAAAACAGTAGTAAAAGGTAGTATACTTTACCCTACACCACAGTGGAATTTCTTATTTTTATCATCTAAGCAACCCTGCTCTTATAGGATATCCATAGAAAGCTTTTGCCGTGGAGTTGAGAAGGCCATCATGTAAAGATATTACTGCTTTGAGAACCTCGCCCCTTATTCGAATCTACCCGCCCAGGTCTCTTGAAGGAGGAGGCTAGTCGCTAGTCGGGCGCAGATGCTACAGCACTCGGCATTCGTCACTCTTTTGTACTTGAAAATTGGATCTGTTTAATTAATTATTTTATTCATAAGTTGTTGAAGTTTCTCTTTTTCAGCTTCTCCTTTGCAACGTTGCTTTCTGAAGGCCTCTTGCAGACGAAACGGGCGTAAAGACTAGACTTGGAATTGTAGCTCCAAGAGTGGTGATTACAAGACGGATCATTTGAAATCTGAATCGAATTGTGTTCAACATCGAAAGTCAAAGCTACTAACTAGCCAGTAATAAGGTGTGGTGATCGACGAAGGACCAAAATAAT